ACACTCATACCAACCAGCACTTAGACAGGCACAGTCACACACGCAAGCCAACCAGCACTCAAACAGACATGCAGTCCAGCAAGCACACACACACACAGACTTAGCAGGCGGGGAACTCAGTAGGGCATTCAGTCTATGAGAAAAAATCAGAAATCAGCTGTGTTTCAGTCCGTGTTTGGACGGGTTATCACACCATCATCTCTTTCAGTTCATCGATAGCTCTCAGATCAAAATGACATCTCCGATTCAGACTGAAGAGCATGTATCGGATGGCTCTTCCCACTCGTGCTCCCACCAACCTTGCTCGATCGTCTGTAGCCGGGGAAATAGGCCTCCAACGCTCTACGTCCTTGTCCTTGGGTATCACATAGGCTCGTCCAATCTTCCCTCCGGTCTGCCACCTCGCTATTCTCCCCAAGCCCCTCCGATCGAACTCGCCTCTCATCTTCTTCAGTATGCGATCCTCGTCTTGTCATACCATCGTAAAACTCGGGTTACGGTTGAAGGTGTCCCTGCATGCTTCGTTGTATATCTGCGGACACACCAGGAGCGTGGACCCTGGGTTTCTATCAATAGGAACCGCAACCAACTCCCTGTACGGCCACATTACTCCCTTCACTTCCCCCACGGTCATAGCCCTGGACTGTTCCATTCCTCCTTTATGGTAGCAGTCTCGTAGTTCGGACCCTTCGACCCTCACTTGTCTCCCTTTGTTCCTTGAGCTCATAACGAAGCTGGGTATCTCCCTCACTTGGTTGATTCTAACCCTGATATGTTCGTTGGTTACCAGCAACCCTTGGATTCTGCACATGCATCTTGCGTGCTCCATCTCAGTGAACGTCCAGTGGTTGTGGATGACACCTCCAACCGTCTTCCTCCTCTTAGTAACAGTTCTCACTTTCGCTGCTATAAACCTCCGAAGATATGGATCCGCCACTGATTTCTCCAGGATTCCCGCCGCTACTATCCTTACCTCCCCCAAACGGATGTTTGGTGAGAACGAAACTTTGACACATGGCCGTCTTCTGATCTCTACCCCGAACTTCTCTCTCACAATCTTGGTGATCGAGGTCTTCAGCTGATTTCTCACCTTCTTGTCACCGAAGAGTGAGCGCGTCCTATACAGGGAGACTAACTCGCTCGAACTCTTTCGGTACATCCGTCTAATCTTCCTTGGGTTCCTCCGTAATTCCCTCAATACATTCCGTCGATGTTCAACACTGGTAGGTACTATCCTGATACTCACGACTGGGAACTCCCCCCCTCTTTCGAAGGCTTTCTTGCAGTCCCTAATCGGCATTTCCTTCCCTCCCACTATCACCGAACTCAAGCCGATCTTCCCTCTCACTACGTTCCACCTATCTATCCAAACATTCCCTCATGCTGTAACGATACAATGTTCCCCCGCCGTCCTGCTCATCTCTTTCACCAAGTCTACGATGGACTCCCGATCGTTAAATCGGAGTATCGATTCGGGGATCCCTTCGTACTTCCTCTTACCTCTCTCCCTCCTTCCTCTCCTCCTTCTCCTTCTTCCGCCTTCTCTCCCTGTGCCTTGCTTGTTCAACGCCGGCGAGAATTTACTAATTAGGGCCTTTTCTACCGATAAGGAATCGCTGGTCTTACTCACCAACGGCAAGGTCAAGTAATTACGCCACCCGAACACTTTCAACCATGCGTGTAGTTTGGGTGCATTCCCCAAGGTCCCATTCTTCGCCTTCTTTACGTGATCTGTCCATCTAATGATAACCTTCTGGGACGTACATCCCACGTAAAAATGCCTACACCACGGGCTTACGAGAGCATACACGCCAGGATCCTCTGTGGACAAATCTCTTTCGACTGTCCCAACAATCCTCGCCCACTTCTTCGCCCATGGGCATCCTCCTCGCATCACATAGAGCAGAAACAGCCTAAAAATTCGGTCTTCTACCTACCTCCACCGTCAGATTTGCCCTTCCCCTATTGATTTGCTCTCCCCTATCCCACATTATTTCCCATAGCTCTCCAAGGATATCCATGTCAGGTTCTCATCCACACAAATGAGCTATTTGTCGAAGATAGGGGAAATCTTACCACTTTCTACGAACTCCTCGTAGGCGAGCTTTGCCTTATATCTAACCAAATCACCGATGGCATTGTCCTTCTTTGACCACTCAATGCCTTCTTGGCTACACAACTTTCTCAACTCTGGTACTTTCTTCTCAGATAACCTTTGGTGCAGCTCGATGGCGAAATCCAGCATCTTTGTTCCTCCCGTACCGCCTTCTGATCCTTTCTTCTTCGGAGGTGGAGTCCTTACTTCATCTTCATCCTCGTCATCTACTCTCACCGTGTTCCTGTGATACCCTCTCCTCATGCTCTTAGATATCCTTCCCTCCTCCTCTACCTTCTTCTTGCCCTTCCTCCTTTCAATTGCTTCGATCAACTTTCCTGCCTCCTCCTTTACTTCCTCATTATCGACATCCGACTCTACTAAATAGCTTCTTATCTCCCGAAGCATTCTTGTCTTCGTCTTGGGGGATTTTTCTTCCCAATGACTTCCTCGTTCTTGTTATTAGGCCATTTATGCTGGGTTAGTAATCATACCATTCGCACTTCCAGCCTAGCCTCCCTCGCTTTCGCCTCCCTCATTCTTTCAATTTCTCTCTTGTTTTCCTCATCTCTCCTCTTTCTCTCCTCCTCCTCCTTCACTCTTCTTTCCTCCTCCATCTTCCTCTTCCGGATCTTCTCTCGGAAGTACTCTTTCATCTCCTTCGTTTCCTCATCCATTGTCCCACCTGATTGGTACGGTGGCCTACCGTTCCCCCCGGCCCAGCAGTTCCGGGCGTAGTGGCCCACCTTCCCGCACACGTAGCACGAGATTACTCCTTGCTGATTCCCGTTTGGCGGACCACTCCCATACCCTTGGATTTGAGGAGCTCCCGGATTCTGAAAACTCGCCATGTCACCTTCTCCTCGTCGCCCTCCTCCTGCTCCTTCTCCCCTGATCTCTTACTACGCAACCCGAACTATACAGCCTCCCGAGAAACCTCTCTAAATGTACGAACAACTCCCTTCTAGAATCTTCATCGTTGAAATGTAGCGCGATAAATATGCCCGACACGACACTATCTAATATTGTCTTCTCTAATTCTACCCAAAGTCTGTGGAATTCTTCGACCCTGAAGTTCCGATCCGTCATATCTCATCTAATCAGTGCTCAGATCCCTAACGCACGAAGCTCCTATTCTCTCGTCCTACCTCCGACACCTCATAGATGAATTCAATGAAGGCCGCTTGTCGTGTCTTTTACCCGGATTCGCAGTATAGAAGATGATCACACTTCATTACCGCGTAGCCCGAATAGGCTCAAGAAAGAAAGACCGTATCGATTTCCCGGTGCAGTGCTCGACAGCCGGCTACGGAGCTCGCGCTCCGGCCCTAATCACGCTCTCCAAACGGGAGCGCTCACCCCCCCATTCGGTAAAGTCGTCCCCTCACCCACAAACTGCACGCCAAAACTGCACACAAAAAGCTGCACACCAAAGGCTGCACACAGTCGTAGCCACCACCAAATGCACGCAAAACGGTTACCATGTTAGTCGAGATTGAAGAAGCACACGGCTATGGCCAAAAAACACTCACAGCTCGACCTCAACATCCCAAACTTAAAGATACTCAAAAAACACTCGGTAC